AAGACCTTAGGCCTGGCTTGCCCAGGCCCACCTGGGCACAGGCCTGAAAATCCACAAAGTTTCCTGCGTGCACCCACTGCCTGTGGCTGTGGGGCACACAGCCTTACGTTGTCAAAGAGCGGCTGGAGCGCCTCGGCCAACTGCAAGGCGGTGGGGCTGGATACTCGGATGTGGTCGTCCGAGAACAGAGAGCCGAGCAAAGTGACGGCATTCCTGACCACCTTTTCGTCTTCATCCCTCAGGAGCAGCACGAGGCTTTCGGTCAGGCTGCCCATTCTTTTGGCCTGTGAGGAACACAGTGCTGTGCCGTGAAGCCAGCAAGGGCTGCAGAGCTGACCCCGCTCAGGCGGGGCAGCCCCACGTGCTGCCGTGGGGCCCAGAGGCCAAAGGCCTGTCCTGGAGGCCTGGGGCAGCTGAGGGGGGAGGCAGCAGAGCTGGCAGCAGCTGCCACAGCTCCCAAAGCCCAGCCAAGCCCCAGCCACTGCTCTCCTCAGCCCCAGGATTCCAGCACGGCTTCAGCCAACTGTCCCCTCCTCACCGTCATAGGATCCTTGCTCAGAACCACCAGGCCTCTGAGCACTTGGTGACGAATCTCAGGGCACTCGCTCCACAGGTGCCTTGAAAGGATCTGCAGGACGGCTTCGCCACATTCAGTCACGTCCAGGTAGACCAGCACCTGAAAGGAACGCAGCAGTGACGGGGTGCCCGGCCGGCAGGAGCCCGGGCCTGCCCAGGGCCGGGCCCAGGCAGCAGCACAGGGCGCGGCACCGTCCCAGGCAGCCCTGGCCAAAAGCAGTGGTGGCTCTGCAGAGCCTCTGGGCTCCCTGCCCTGCGCAGGCCACTCTCCCACTCCTCTGTGCCACCCAGCCCTCGGCAGCCTTGGTCAGATTCCTGGGCCTTGAGGAGCCCTGAGGGAAGTGCCAGTGCTGGCAGGACAGGGACCCAACACTCATCTGGGCACAAGTGTCACTCCAGCAGCCAGGGGCCAAGGGCACACGGTGGAGAGCCCTTCTTCCCCGGCTCCATTCCCTGGGCTTCCCCCGC